TGTAATCCCAGTGCTTTGGGAGGCTGAGGTGAGTGGATTGCCTGAGTCTGTGGGTTCAAGACCCACCCGGGCAACTTGGCAAGACCTCGTCTCTACAGTAATAAAAAAAAAAAATTAGTTGAGCGTGGTAGTACGCCCCTGTAGTTCCGGCTACTTGGAAGCCTGAGGAGGAAGGATCGCCGGAACCCAGCAGGTCAAGGCTGTGGTGGCCGGGAGAAGCCAGCCACTAAACTCCAGTCTGTGAGACAGAGTGAGACTCCAACTCAAAAAAAAAATCCCTACAAAATCTAGGCATGTACCCCTTTGAGGGAGGAGCAACACAAAAGTAATCAGTAACAGCTGGGTACATGTACTAGTGGGGAGAAGGCCAGGAAAGGCTTACTACACCCTCCCGTACGAAAGGTGCATAGCTGCTCACCTGGGGGTGACTATGAAGTTAGGGGACAAAGTGCCCTTGCAAAGGCCTGAGGGCCCATCCTTGCTTTGGTCCTCACTACCAGGGCAACCAGTCTCCTTGCCTCAGGGGTGACCACAGCAAGCGCCCATGCCAAGATCCAGACGGTGGCAAAGCCAGGCTTCCCGTGCTCACTCAGCCCTGGGTTCTTCCTACTGGGCTGTCCCTGCCTCCCTGGTCTGTTTATCAGCGTAGGGAGACTTCAGTCCCCATACTTGATTCTTTACTGGCCTGAGGGAGTCTCCCCTCCAGGAGGCACTAAGCCTTCGCCCTGATGGAGAAGGGGGGGAGAAGGCAGTATGGGAACATACTGCAGACACCTCTGTCCCCTCAGTGTCTCGCAAAGGGAGTGCCAGTGAGTTTGGAGGGAATGACTGAAATGAAGCTTTCCTGCTGGAATTATCCAGAATCTGAAAGCAAGGAGGACCCAGCCTCTTGTCAGAGACCTGGATATGGGCTCGTTCTGTCCCAAGGGCACACTGAGGGGCAGACAAAAAAAAGCAGGGACAAATCGCAGGTAGGGACCTTCTGCTAAAACCCTACCATAAGCCCAAGTATTAAAACTGCACAATTGGCCCCATGTCACATCTCTTGGTTGCTCCTCCATCCCTGGTGCCTGGCTCTGCTCCACTTCTGGCTGAAGCTCCCTGTAGCCAGCAGGACAATTCCAATCCCTTCTAGTTACCACAGCCTACTGGAATTTCTTGGCCTTCATGTTACTGGGTGTCTAAGCAGTAACTTCTCCTCCTCAGCCCTCTGCCCTTGCTCCTCCTCTCTAATCCTCCTCGGACTCCTCCAGCTGCTTCTCTCAGGCAGCCTCCAGTCCTGCTCCCTGCTCTCAATCTGTTTTTTACATGTGGGTGCTCTTCCAGATATCCCCAAGGGTCTCCCTCTCATCAGCTCCCTTGGTTTTCATTCTTACCTGTAGATCCAAGCATCTTGCTCTTTTCTTTGGGCTATAGATCCTGCATGTCCTGATGGCTAATACTTCTCCCATATGTCTCACAGGCAAGCGTCCAAGGGAACTCATCACCCTTCCCCTGGACAATTGCTCTTCCTCCTGTTTTGTTTGTTTGTTTGTTTATTTGAGTCAGAGTCTCACTGTCACCCAGGCTCGAGTGCAGTAGCATGATCACAGCTACCGGAGCCTTAACTTGCTGGGCTCAGGCTACACTTCTGCCTCAGCCTTCCAAGAAGCTGGTACTATAGGAACACACTATCACACAAGGCTAACTTTTTGACTTACTGTAGCGACGGAGTCTCACCAAGTTGCCCAAGCTGGTCTCGAACCCCTGGGCTCCAGCAATTCTCTTACCTCTATCTCCCAAAGTGCTAGGATTATAGGCGTAAGCCCCCATGGGTGGCCCTCCTGTTTTCTTCACCTCTGTTGATGGTACCAGCATTCACACAAACTCCCAAGCAAGAAACCAGGAAACCATCATAGCCAGTTCCTTTTCATTACATCTAAAGAGTCCCCAAGCCCAGTCAACTCCACCTTCTAAGTTCCTCTCATCTGTCCTTGCAGCACTGCTCATCTTCAATCTGCATCAGCTCCTGTTTGGTCTCCCTAACTCTAGCCTTAATCCTCTTGGATCCATTCTCTATCTATCTGTCATCAGAGTCAATCTTCTAAACTTTAGAAGCATAAATCTGACCATATCATTATTTTCTTAACATCCTTCACTGATGTATCCACTGATACACTACAAGATCCCCAGTCTGGAGCCCAGATCCTTTGTACAGATCCAGGTCCAGGCATCACCTACCCCCTGTGCCCTGGCTCACTCTAGGAGCCATCTCAGGTAGGATCCTCTGCCCTCTGTGCAGATAGCATGTCATGTTTTATTCTGCAGAGCTGGTGACCTCTACACATTCTTCTATGCAAAGCCAAGACTTTACTTCCCCAGAACGCCTTTCTTAAAACCCTACACAATGGGTACCCCCTCCCTCCCAATGGTAACATGTACCTTCTGCTGAGTCTAACACACTCACACTGAACTGTCCTTCATTTGTTGACCTGTCTTTCTATTACAGCAGGAGTTTATTTCATTGAATCTAAGATACCAACGATTTTAAGTTTCCCCATTAATTTACATATCACTGAGGAAAAACACTTCCAGCTAATCCTTAGTATGCCATTGTTTATAGGACACATCCCAAGTGTAGAGATATTACTGTGAAAACGCACATCTGAGAATTGATAATCTATAGCAATAAGCCTTCTTTACAGCTATGGGTGCAGGTGAATGGTTGGCCTAACCACTCTGAAAGAGCAGTGTAAGAGGGACTTCAACTAGGGTGGTGAGCTGGCAAATCAAGGTCCGGAGAGAGATGGCATGGGGTTCCTCCTAGTAAGCCAGAAGGTGGCAGTGCCCCCTTACCTGTGATGTGCAACTGGTGCAGCCTGTGATAGGCCAGGGCTGCGTCTCGAGCGCTGGTCTTAGCTTCGTCCTCAAAGCCTGCTGCGGTGGCTGGGGTGGCCCACCGGCGCTGGAAGACTTTCTTGAGCAGCCAGCGCACCAGACGAAGCTTCTGCAGGCTATAGCGAATCACGTTCCAGGAGAGGCTGCAGGCCAGGTCCAGGCGGGAGGTGGGCAGTGCCCGGCCCAAAACAGCCAGGCAAGTTTGTAGGTTGGTGGCAGCAGCTGCAAAATCTCCCTACAGAGTAGCAAGGGGTGTAATGGTCACTGGTCTTGCTGTGGCCTTTTGTTTTATTTTGATAGACTTCTTCTGTCCCCCACCTCATAATACATGCTCATTATAGAAAATCTAGGAAAGTTCAGAAAGCCACAAAAAAGTAAAAAGAAACCACCTATAATCTTACCCCCTAGAAAGAATCACTGCTGACATTTTGAGGTATTTCCTCCAAGCCTTTTAAAAATTTGGAATTGCACTGTGTTCTTTCTTTGAGCAAATGCTGGTTGAAGTTTCCCACAGTAGCTTTTATACATAAGATGACGGCATAAACTTAGATGAACTCCATGATCCTTTAGAGTTACAGGGACTCTAACTGTGGTCCCAGAGGACAGCAGCACCAGCCCTTGGGAGCTTTTTAGAAATGTAAACACTGGGGTCTCACCCTAGACATACTAAATCAGAACCTCTGGGATTGGGCTGGATGTGGTGGCTCATGCCTATAATCCTAGCTCTTTAGGAGGCTGAGGTGGGAGAATTGCTTGAGGCCAGGATTTCTAGCCAGCCTGGGCAATATAGCGAGACCTTGTTTCTACCAAAAAAAGAACCTCTTGGGTTGGAGCCCTCTAGGTGATTCTCATGCCTACTAAAGTGTTTGTTTTTAGAAATGGGGTCTCACTGTGTTGCCCAGGCTGGTCCTGAACTCTCAGCCTCAAGTGATCCTCGCACCTTAGCCTCCCAAGTAGATTATAGGTGTGTGCCATGATGCCCAACTTTATGACTGCTAAAGTCTGAGAAACATGGTTCTAGTCAGACTCACACTAAACTACCCTAACCTAGGATCTGAAAGAACTGCTCTTTGCCAACCTGAGAGGGTCTAGTGGAGAGCCTACAGTGCTGTATTTATAACCTCTCTTCTCATTCTTTCCCTCGGTCTCATTATTGGGGATCAGAAGACTATGGTCTCAGCAAACTGAAGTAAATTCTCCTTTCTTTTCCCCTGTCACACAGTTGGTACAATATCTGTGCTTCGGATATCATTACAGGAGCAGACAAGGGAAAAGTGGGTAAAGATGTTCTCAGAAGGACAGTCTCTAAGGCGGAAGCTGTTTCTTTCCAGCCAGGAGAAGAGTCTGTATTTACAAACCCCAAAGGAGGCAGGTGTTTCCCTGGTTCCTCCCCTGCCTTTCCCTCAAAGGTTGTGTTTCCAAGGTTTAGTCTTTGGCTTGTGTCCCTTCTGACTCCCAGACCCAGCCTTCTCCAAGCATTCTCTTCTGACAGGCATGCAGCTTCCAACTCTGTCCCGACCCTTCCATGACCTGCCTCCTGCTCACAAGGGCCTCTCCCAGCATTTTCAAACAACATGGCCTAGACAAAGTCCCCACATCTTCCAGCCTCTCCCAACAGAGTTGCTGTCTCTGTCTCTTCCTTTCCATTCTATGTCTCAAATATTTCTTCAGTTCAATCCCAGGTCCTTTCCTTTCAATCCCAGGTTCTTACCATCATCTCTTACTCAGCCTATTTCAAGACCACTGTAACTTGTTTCCGTACATTTCATGTCTCCCTTCTGCAACCCTTCCTTCACAGCCACCAGCATGATGTTCGTAAAACACACACCTGAACCTGCCTCTAGGATACATACCTTGGGATACTGTTCTCTGGGAATAGGCACCTCCTCCACCAAATTCACATCTATAGTCTAGGACCTATGGCCCCAGCCCCAGCTGACTCTAGAGAGTTGTGAATAAAGCCCCAAATCAGTTACCAATGAAAGTCCTCTCCAACTTGGGCTCAGACACAGTGCCAGCCTTCACCCTTGTCTCTCTGACATATCCTACACACCAGACACTTCCATGGAACTTGCCAGTCTCCAGACTATCTACTCATGCCATTCTCTTGGTTTAAAAGGTCTTCCTACCATGCCTGCCCTTTCTTCCTGCCTTTGGCAGCCCTGGCTCAGCTCCAGAACCCCTCAGTCAGAACTCATCTCTTCTGCCCCAACTCCCACAGCACTACATTCTTTCTCTGTCACCAGAGATGATAGATCATCTCATGTTCATGGGATCGTCTATGCATAGGTGCCCTTTCTGCTGCCCTGTTACCATTCAGGAGCAGAGTCCCTTCTTCTGCTCAGTCACCGTAGGTACCTACCACAGGACTTTATCCACAACTGAGAATTTAGCATAAGTTGCTGAGTTACTGACCAAGCTTGGGCGAGGAAGGGGAAAGGCAGGTGGCAGAACTCACCCTGGTGAGATCCAGGTCTGCCTGTTTCCGGTGCCTCCAGAAGGTGACTGAGGAGCGCGAGTGTGGCCGGATCACTGGCTCTCCATGGACCAGCAGCTTCACAAAGACGCTCAGGACAATCACACCATTGACCAGCCATAAGAGAAGAGTTGGCACCATCCAGTCAAACCAGCCCCCGGAACCTAAAGAGGGACATCTCAGCTGAGCCCACCAGGAAGGGCTTTGTGGAGCAGCCGGCACCTGGCTGACGCCAGCACTGTGACATGAAAGAGCCCTGTACCTCAGTTTCAGAAGAAAGGGTGGATAATCCTATAACCTAAATAGGAATCCTATAGCCCTTGTCCTTATGGAGCGGAGTGGTGCAGAAATCTGTGTTAGCCAGAAAGAGGACAGTGGTTTCACAACACAGGTCAAAGAAAGGAAAAAAAAAAACCCATATCCTCCACAAGCCCTTTCAACCCCCCACTCCCACACCATGGGATTTTGAGAAGTGGGTTCCTGATTTGTTTTGCTTGTTCTGATTGAACTTGCCTTGTTATTTCCAAAATGCAACTTATACCAGACCCTATAAGAAGCAGCCGGTGAAGGTCCACTATAAAAGCCCTTTGGGACTTGGTCGACAAGTCAAGCAGTTTGCACACAGAGTCCTTCTGCCACAGCATCTATCCATGCCCAGGTGGCACAAGGGTCCCTCCTCCTACCTGACTCCAATGACAGTACGCTGCGGCCAGAGCCTGAATGTGGATGCTGGTCAGAGTCGTGGGCCCCTCCCCATTGCAGCAGGGAAGTCAGAGGATTAAAAGAGAGGCACAGGAAGGTGAGGACACACAGCAGAATTCGCGAACGGTCCACCATGCCCAGCGCCACAGGAGGAGAGTCTGGCTCATCTTTGACCTTCAAAACAGGGCCTCGAGGTTGGAACAAATACTGCATGGGTTTTTACAGGATTTTACATATACATCGGGAAACAGACCGAGATTTAAATTCAAGATCATTAAGGACTAAAGCCAGGTGGGAACCAAAAAGTCCACAATTCACAAACTTCTGCTTAGACATTGGTGCATTCGCCCTCTTGCTGACTGAGAAAAGTACATGCTCCAAAGAAAAAAGGTAGAGAGGTTTTCTTCTAAAATAGAGCTCTGTCTCAAAAGATAACACATTGTATGATTCTGTTTCTGTATAATTCCAGAACAGGTGAAACAAATCTAAAGTGACAAGAAGCTGACGTATCAGTGGTTATCTGAGGCTGAAGCGGGATATGGTGAACTGCTCACAAAGGTGTATGAAGGTGCTTTTTGGGGTGAGGAAAATGTTCTACATCTTGATTATAGTGCCAGTTACATAGTAGTGTACATTATGTGAAAACTCCTAGTACTACACATTTAATATAGGTGCCTTTTATTGCATTTAAATTATACCTCAATAAAGTTGATTAAAGACTATACTTTCATGTGGATCAATCTATCTAAAAGATCTCGCCTATCCTAAAACTGCAACATTGTCTCCACCACCCTCCTCCCATTTTACAGGAGGGAGTGAGGGTAGGAAGCTGAAGCCAGATCTACCCAAGCCCTAATGTGTACACACCACGTCACTCCTTTTCTTTTTTCTTTTTCTTTTTCTTTTTTTTGAATCAGAATCTCACTCTGTCACCCAGGCTGGAGTGCAGAGGCATGCTCACTCCTTTTCAACACTTTAAAACCATTTGAACATTTCTTCTGATGACTCAGAACCCTAGCTAATTCAATTTATATGTCAAATGGTCTGTGGTTACCAAACAGAGTCACATTCATAAGATATTTCAAAAACAGAGCTTCCCAGTAAAATTAAATATATGACACAATAAACAGCTTAGTCAAAAACAAACACTAGAAGGGAACTTTGTGCTTTCAGAGTCAGAAACTGCCAATGCCAAAATATAGTACAGAACCCAGTGGTCTCCACAGGTTCCCAGAAAGATCATTAGGCTCAGGGCCTCTTTTAAGTAATTCCATTAAACTGCAATTGCCAGGGGCTTTCTTTGCCAATTAAAGGCCCTTAGTTATCTGTTAGACTGCAAATTGTAATCATTTCCGAAAAGAGGACCCAGAGGCAGCCTTGTCCTAAACCAACCGATCAGTCTCACGAAGTGGTCTTGCCAGGCCCATTACAGGCAGAGGGAAGCAGTGAGGCGCCTCCAGCAACTCCCAGTGCCCGCCTGACAGCTGTTCTGCATTCTCGCTCTGTGTCTGGCACTCATTCCTCTCTAATGGGGCCCTTTAGCAAGGGCCAGTAAACCTGAAGGACTGTTCCCCAACTGAGTCACTTTTTTCTTTCTTTATTCTCCGGGACCTGCCTAATTTCACAGCACTCCTGTTCCTCTCCAGCCTGGGCCCTCTGAACACCTGGCCTGGCTCCCTATCTGTGGCTTCCCCACTACTCTTTTTGGGAAATGGGAGAGAGTTCGGGGATCAGGGGATTTCAAAAGTTTGTACCTTTGCATCATCCAACAGAGGGCTTCCTGGCTCAGAGTCGATGGAATAGGGGGAGAAGCCAGCCTGGGACCCAGAGTCAGAGGCTGGGGGAGACATCAGAAGGACATTCTGATTAAAGTCCTCGATCTTCAGGTCCACCTCATTGTCCACCAGACTGCCTAGGTCGATGCCCTTCAGGAGCTCTGCAAAGAAAATACTACCTGGTAAAAATGATCTCTTTTACAAAGCCCTGCCTGTCCCCAGCACAGGACAGTTTGACAACCCTTCTCTCTCTTTCTCTCTTTCTGAGTTGGAGTCTCACTCTGTTGCCCAGGCTGGAGTGCAATGCCATACTCATGACCACCGCAGCCTCAACCTGCTGGGCTCAGATGATCCTTTCATCTCAGCCTTTCAAGTAGCTGAAACTACAGGTGTGTAGTTTCAGCTACACACCCATGCCCAGCTATTCATTTATTTATTTATTATAGAGGCAAGGTCTTGCCAAGTTGCCCAGGCTGGTTTCGAACCCGTGGGTTCAGGCAATCCTCTTGCCTCTGCCTCCCAAAGTGCTGGACAACCCTTCTCTTAATGAGCACACTTACTGTTTTTCTGATTTGCCAGCTTCAGCACCATGTTCTCCTGGCGCAGTTTATGATTAACCTGCTGTAAGTATTTGATATAATCAATGGCCTTCCTCAGAACACCAGACTTGTGCATCTGGGAAGGAAAATGAGTGAAAACACAGTGAGACCAGTGCAGGCTGGAGGGTGAAGGGAGCAGAGACCTCGCACTTGTGGATTGAGAGCATGACTCTGGGGTGGGAGACATCCTATTCAGATGCTGGTCCTCCTACTGATGAGTTGTGCTACCCAGGTCAAGTCACTCCACACCTCTGAGCCTCACTTTTCTACTCCTTAGCATGGGGATAATGGTAGCATATGAAGAAAGGCTTGAGGGGGGTGAGGGGGCGGGGGAGCTAGACAAAATTTCTCCCTCTGTCACCCAGTCTGGAGTACAGTGGCATGATCACAGCTCACTGTAGCCTCAACCTCCTGGGCCCAGGGAATCCTTCCACCTCAGCATCCTGAGTAGCTGGGACTACAGGTGCGTGCCACCACGCCTGGCTAATTTTTTTGATTTTTTTGTAGAGATGAGGTTTCACTATGTTCCCTTGGATGGTCTTGAATTACTGGGCTCAAGTAATCGTCCTGCCTCAGCCTCCCAGTGCTGGGATTACAGGAGTGAGCCACCACACCTGGCCAATATTTTATAATCTTGACAAACACCAAGGTATCTTAATAAGAAAGAACTACTGGTCATTGCCTTGCTAAGCTATGGTGTGGCCATGTGCTCTTTGAGCTATGGCCAGGCCATGCTTCCTGGCTTTGTCCCCCTTCCCTACCTTGGAGAGGTGAATCTCCCCCTTCTCCCTCTCTTTCAAATTTACTTCCTAAATAAGCTATATTTTCTAATCTGAAAAAAAAAAAGAAGTACTTCTAACTCATTCTTGCATTCACTCAACTTGGGCCTATGACGTCTCTATTCCCAAGGCAAAGACCGGTAGAAGCGATATGGTAGGACACGAAACACCATTTTAGCTGGCACCCACCTTAGCATCTGTCCCCATGACCAAGTCTTTCAATTCAATAATTTTGTCATTGATGGAGGAGCGATATCGTTTCTCAATAATATTGTGTGTCGTCCGCCTTTCTCCTTCTTTGGGAGGCTCGAGCTGCTTGACTCCCCCAGGTACCTGCTTAATGGGCACTTTCTCTTGTCCCATCATCACAGGCATTGTGGTCAGAATAGTCCCATTGCTGCCAACCAGGGTCTGGAACAAGCACAGGTGCAGAGCAGAATTATTCCTTTGTTAGTCTGTGTAAAGCAGCCTCATAACACAAACCTGCTTGTCCCTGGCCACATAATATCACCTGGCAATGCCTCACAGTCTGAGGCTCTTTCCAGGTTTATTAAGTCAGGCCCCAAGAAGCCTTAGGAGCTATGGTGCCTCAGTTACTACCTCCCTTTCAGAATCAGTGTCAATAAATTACACCACAAGAGGATTAATATGGCTAAATATGTTTTCACCTTTGATCTATGCCAGAAACAAGTTATATTTCTCCTTTACTATTAAACTGTTAACCACCTCTAAACTTGTACACAGTGAACCACATGAGTTGGCATCAGAGAGAACTTTCTCTGGACTATGATATATTTTTTCCTTTTAAGTGACAATTAAGCATACCCTTGCATTTCTTTGTATGGTTTGGTCATCAAAAAGCTCAAGGGCAGAACTGACATACTTAATCAGAGCCATTTGATTAAATAAACAGGCCCACCATAGAGGTCCCCACTTTTATTTTTCATCTCTGTTTTCCCCTCTTTTTGTTTCTATTTTTTGTAATTTTACTTTTATTTTCTTCAAAAAATGGCTTCGATATCTAAACGGTCAACAAATACAAAGGTGTTCAACTTCACTAGTCATCAATGAATAACTCACAAATAATACAAATTACAAACCTTAACTTTACATTATGATGAATTTTACATATGTATACAATGTGTGTAACCATCTAGATCAAAACAGAACCCATTTCTCTTAGCTCAGAAAGTTCTCTCATGCTCCTTCTCACCTTGTCATCACTTGGCATCACTTCTATCACCAAAGCTAAGTTTTGCCTCTTCTTGAACTTCATATAAATGGAATCATTAGCATGAGCTCTCTTGTAATAGGCTTCTTTTCCTCAAGATACTATTTTTGAGGGTCAGCCATATATCAATAGCTCTTTCTTATTGCTGGCATCATTTCATTGTATGACTATATCATAACTTGTTTATCTGTTCTCCTGTGGGTGGACATCTGGGTTATGTCCAGTTCTTGACTTTTATGAATAAAGCTAGTGCTTCCAAATTCACACTATCATTTATTTACTCTACCAGACTCTCGCCACAGGATGCTGACAGCGGCTAAGAACCTACAGCTGAAAGATGGGCTGTCTTCCACATTCTTTCCCTTGGAGCCCCCACTTCCGGGTGGCCCTAGGATCCTTCAGAATCTAAACCTCCAGAGGTGGATGATCTTATGTAGAACTGTGGGACAGGAACTGGGGTTCCTGTCTTTCTTTTCTACACCCTTGTACACCCCAGCACTCCCATCTAACACACGCTGATAGTACCTCTTCAAGAGAAAAAAGCCAAAAGAGAGGTGATATTTACTATTTGACTGACATATTCGATAGAGCTTCCAATACCTACTCAGCATATAGAGACTTTAAGGTTCCTGAAAGCTAACACCTCCAAGAATGAAGGTGGAGGGGAGGGGGTAGGGGAGAAGGCAGCTCTTACTGGTACTTGAAGGGCAGCCGTCTGGATAGGGGTGGTGAGGGCAGTGAGGGCTGGGTTCTGGACTGCAGCCATGACAGGGCTGCCATCTGTCTTCAGTGTGGTCAAAACAAGGGAATCTGTCTTGATGATCTGAGGCTGTACTAGGACCTAGATGAAGAAGGAAGACCAAGAAAAAAGAAAGTAGCATTACTTTTGTATTTTGCATTCATTTCTTACTGCATAGACCCTCCAAAAAAGAATAAGAAAATATACAATTTTTTTTTGTTGTTTTTGAGTTGGAGTCTCACTCTGTCACCCAGACTGGAGTGCAGTGGCCGCTCCCGGCCACCGCGCCTCGACCTGTGGGCTCTGGTGATCCTTCCACCTCAGCCTTCCAATTAGGCAGAATTACAGGCATGTGCTACCACACCCAGCTGAAAATATACAATTTTTATGGAATTGAGAATCAAAAAATACCAGGAAATCTTTTTTTTTTTGAGTTGGAGTCTCACTCTGTCACCCAGACTGGAGTGCAGTGGC